AACTACCCTCAATTTCTTTTTTTATTTTTTTTTTTTTCCCCCCAGTCTCCAGTTGTAGACCTTGCCTTATCAGGTGAAGTACCTTATTTGAAAAATACTTCCTCCGTAACTGGCTTCTGACTTTAAGGTCTAGAAGGGGGAGATAAAATAGTATAAAGGTTACCTGAGGCCTTAAAACTGAGTGATTTGAAGAAAAGAATCCTGCTGCAGGCTTACTGTATGCTGTAGTCTGCTCTCAGCAGGTATATTTTCAACTTTTTCTCATTTCCTTTTTCTTTCATTAATTTCTCAGTTAATATTTTTACCTTTCAGTAGATAGTGGTTGTTGCAGGGATATGAGGGATGAGCATTGTTATTTTAGTTTTATTTCCTTATTTGTATTAGATCATAAACACTGTTTGAACAGAAGTCTCCATCTACTGAGGGTTAGTGATTTAGATGACTTTAAAGTTACCTGGATGTATTATCCTGGTCATTTTGAATGTGAAGGAGTTTAAGCAGATCCATGCATTAGTCTCGTTTAAAATGGGAAGGTGGATTTGGTGTTTGAACAGCCAGTCTGTGGATTAAATCAATCTTAAAGGCATTTTGTTTGGTGTTTAAGAGTTGTCAGTGATGGAAAAACGAATATGGCTGTCATGAAGTGAATTTAAACACTGGCTTATTAGTAGGCACTAATATAATTGCAAATGTGGAATGACCATCCAATGTATACCTTGCTATAGGGGTTTTGCTGTTGTTGATACTTGACCATGTTATGTAACATATCATGAATGATCTGGAAAAGGTCATAAAATTGTTATGCATTGAGTTTGTAGGCAGTTGAAATCCTAGGGGCAAAAATGCATGCATAATTATAGGAAGCCAGGCCTGTGTATTTGGAATTAGTTTGGGGTGTGGAAAAGAAAGCCAGAATCTGTGGGTCGGGGCAGGCATTTCGCAGGTTTTGGCAGTCAGTGTGCTGTGACCAAAAGAGTCAGAATACTCTTGAATGTATGCATAGTGTTATAGGTCACGTAAGACCTCTTGCTGTTAGACTGTTTGATCTGGTCTGGTAGAATACAGTATCTGTCTGGGACATGGTTGTGGTTTGACCCCATCTGGCAGCTCAGCCCCACGCAACCACTTGCTCACTCTTCCCTGGTGGGATGGGGGAGAGGATCAGAAGGGTAAAAGTGAGACAACACGTGGGTTGAAATAAAGGTAGTTTAATGGGTACGGCAAAACCTGTGCACACCAGCAAAGCAGAACAAGGAATTAATCCATCACTTCCATGAGCAGGCAGAGGTCCAGCCATCTTCAGGAAGGCTGGGCTGCATCACTCCTGGTGGTGACTTGGAAAGACAAACACCATCACTCTGAACACCAGCACCCCCTTTCTCCTTCTTTCATCTTAATGCTTATAGAAGGCATATCTGTGTGTGGTCCTTTCTATGGTATTTAAAAATGAAGTTAGTTAATTAGCTTGGTCAAAAGACTTGGCTTGGCTGGGTCCTCGTCTGATGTGATTTCTGACAGTTTTATTCTTGTATTCTTCCTAATGTTTTATCTGACTGTCTTGGTCAAAGATAAAGATTGCATCAATAAGAGGGTGAACTTCATCACAGGTAGAGTCTCTGCAGAGTTATAAATGTTGTTTGCCTGGAAAGTAAGGGCATATGGGAAGTATTTTTTCCAATAAAACCTTGTTCAGTGTCTATATATGCCTGTTGCATAATGTTTAAAAGACAAATCTCAATATTTCTAAGGTAATATCTTTCTAAGTGTTTGCATTTTTAGATTTAAAGAGCTGTAAGCATGTGCAAGTTTGAATTCATGTGCGTGTGACATGATTAGAAAAGTGGGTTATGTTAGTATTATAGAAGATGATTCAGCATGCAGACCTTATTATTTGGTAATATATTGCAATATAAAAATAACTTTGCTTGATATTTGAATCTCAAAATTCAGCTTTGATTTTTGCAATTGCAGAATTGGGAGTGCTGTGTGGAGGGGATGTTTGTCATCCAGTGTCTTTGAATAGGGAAATTATTCTTTTTCACATCAAGATAAAATTTGACAGTCAGTTCTACAGCTGACTTGTCCATAAATATCGGAATAAAGATCACAGGCCACATACAAGTCAGACTTCTCTTGAAAACCTGGAGTAAACTGTTTTCTGTGGCAATCCCATGGAAGCTCCTTGATGCTCTTACTTGTATTGGAATTTTCAAATATATTGTGAAATGAGCAAACCTCCTCTATTTCATTTGTTTGGGTTTTTTCGTTTGTTTATTTATTTATTTATTTTTTATTTTTGTTGTCGTTGTTTTGTTTTGTGGGGTTTTTTGGATGTAAGATTTTTACAATCAAGAAGTTGGGTTCATAATAAATTAGCTTAAAAATGTTAGAGCACCTAAGTTTTTTCCTCACTTTTTATCTCTCTAGGTTAGTTTATTCTTAACCATTAGGAGAAAATCTCTCTGGAGGGTGTCATGGCTCCCTCCCCCTTTATCATTTGCTGCTGCTGAACATACTGGCCATGAGCTGCTGAGTGTGGCTTCCTGTCAGAATTGCTTCATGTAAAATCACAAGGAAGCAAATGCTTCTCGTATCCTCCCATTGTGTTGTTTCCTGTGAAGTAGCAGACTGGATGCATGTCCTGGATACAGGCTTTTTTATGGCACTATACATGTTGGGATGGTCCAATCAAATTGGTTTTGGTATCCCCTATAGTCTCAGTATAGCAGGAAACGAGGCTTCCTCGCATCCTGTTGTTCTCAAGTTAGCCTGATATTGGAGAGCTCTTGGCTCTGTCAAAATCCAGAATGAAGGTGAGCTTAAAATGGTTTTAGGGTTGGGTTGTTTTTAAGGTTTTGTAAGTTTAAGCTGTATTTTGTAACCTTTTCCTTAAACATTCCTTTCCTTAATCATTCTTTCTCTCCCTTGTAGTCCCTTTCTGATTCCATTCTGGTGTCTGCATGAGCACCTGTCTCATGTATTTCCTTGTTTAGTATCAAGGCCAGTCTTTCATAATTCTGTTCACACTTCAGGTTTCCTTATGTAAAAACTACCACTATAAGCAATGAAAATTTCACACTCCTGAGACTTTTTTGTTCCCTAACAGCTTAATTTGTCCCTCTAATTTGCACAGTGCTTAGGCTGATCTCCAGTCTAGTTTTGCATTTATAAATTATGCTGTTAATAAAACCTATCATGTCTTTATTGGTTTCGTGAAGTCAGATTATTTCTTATTTCCTTAATACCTTTTTTGTGTATTGAGTCTTTTAATACTTCCTTGTGTTTCAGAAGAAAACTTATCAAATTCATACCTAGGCAATTCCCTGGTCCCTCTCCTTTCTCCTTACAGCTTCAACTAACTAAGAGTAGTCACTTAAATTATCTGTAGCCCAGTGAAACCTGTTGAAATAATTATTTGACTTATTTTATGTGAGTGATAACTGCTTGGAGTAAACTAGTGTGCACCTCTGCTTAATTCTATGTCTGTTCTGTGGCATTGTTCTTGTGAGCTGTGCACACACTACTCGAGCTTAAGAGATGTCGGTACCTGTACAGCCCGGGTAGAACTGCTGTGCCTGGGACCAGAGATGATCCTCAGTCTGAATGGGGGAAAAACGTGCACGATAACCTGTTCGAGTACCTCAAATACCACGGATGCACTGGGAGGAGTTTTTGCTTACTAAGTAATACTGTCATTAAATGTTTCCTAAATCTCTTCTACCTTTCTTGGGATATTACATCACCAGTCACAACTGGTGTGGCAGCCCCTTCTGTGATTATTTAGGTAGATTCTGTTAAAATTTTCCCTTCTCTTGGGTTCAGCTAGCCTTCCTTTGTTTCTTTCTTGCTCTGCTCTTGGGAATAGGGGTTTTTCCTCTCCTCTCTTGGAAGGCTGCTTTCTGGGGTATGGGCTTTCTGATAGTGCCTGGGCAATGGATTTGTTATCAGGAAAATGAGCATGTTTTTGTTGACTTTTTAGATAAAAAGCTCTATGCTGCGGGAAACTAAATCTCTTTCTGTTTCTTAAATCAGTTGGAAGAACTGTGGTAGCTGTCTTTTATTGTCAGCTTTCTAGTCTTGCACAAAGAAGTACTGTGACTCCTTCCAACCCTTGCAGAATCTGTTGTAAGAGCTATTTTCATGAGACTTCGGATGAGTGTTTCCATTACCTCAGGCAAATATTATGGGTCTCTTTTTTTTCTTTTCTTTTTTTTTTTTTAATCTTCTCTTTTCCCCCCAAAATTCAGATGTTTAATGTCGTCACCCAGTGCTTGAAAGTTACTAGAGCGTTTTCTACAAGATAGTTTGAGGTTTGGATCTCTTTGCCACAGTTAAAAAACTAAAAATAAATTAAAGCTCACCTTTCATCCCTCTGCTTCCCAAACCTCATTCTCCATCTAACCTATCCAGAAACTGCATTTGTCTTAAAATTCATTAGTGTTCAGGAATACCATTTTCCTCTTGCTTGTAGAGTAAAGAGAGAGCATGTACACTGTAGTACTTCTTAAAGTATTTGTAGTAATTTTAAAATGACTTTGTGAATAATCAGGTACAACATCTGTGCACTGCTTCAGAAGAAGAAGAGTATGCCAAGAGTAGTGGTACCCAGTAACTTTTTTGGCCAAAATGTCTGAGGAAAGCTTCTATCTTCTGATAATTGTGTCTTTTTCAACTTTGTTGGAGCTTAAATGAATGTTGATGTTTTTATTTCCTATGTTCTAAACTTTTTTTCAAGTTCAGCTGTTGCTATATTATCCTTCTATTTAAAAATAACTTGGTTTGTTTTTTTTTGGGGGGTTTTGTTTGTTTTGTTATGTTTGGTTTTTTTTCTTTATGGGAAAAAATCCCTCCACAGTTTTGCTGGTCCATAACAGTCACTAAAAGACTGTTACCTTGATCGTGAAATGGCTTCTGAATTCATGGTTTGCATGATAGTATAGAAATGCTTAGTTTAAAGGCTTATTTCTATGACTTATTGCCTTTTTCTTGTTTGTTTTTAGACTTTTGATGCAAATGACCTGTATCAGGGACAGAATTTCAGCAAAGTTCTCAGCTCTCTTGTGGCTTTAAATAAGGTGACTGCAGGTAAGTAGACTACTCTGTCTTGATGTTGACTTACAATTAATTTCAACTTGCATCAGTGTATAATTATACCCATGATGAAATGAGCATGTCCAGCATTTTAAAAGAGTTTTTGTTGGAGTTCATGTTTTTAACACTTTGGCAGTGATCTCTTTGGGTTCCCCAGTGGTGTCTTCTGCAGAAGGAAGCTTTGCGGTAGAGCTGAGACTAAGCCTTTAAGCTAGCAAGCAATCTTAGAAAAAGGGCCTGTTTTTTTGGTTGTTTTTTCTATTTTTTCATCCCAGTTTGAAATACTAAAGATAACTTTTGCTCTATTCTGTTCTATTCCCATGTTTGAACAGTTTTGTCAGAATTTTTTGCCCTCCTCACTCTCTATTCCCCAGCACTACCCTTTCTTGCCAGTAACAAAAGAATAGCCAATGTCTTTGATCCCTTAAGCCACATGTTTCATTGAGGTAGCAGCTAGAAGTCATGAACCATTTGCCTCAAGTTCTTTGGTGGGAGGGGAGAGAACTGTAGAAATAACACACGGGTGAGAGGTGTCCATCCATCCTTGTAGGGTGAGGCTGTGCTAAATGATGCCAACTGGACCCAAGGACAATCAAGAAATGTTAACGTTGGTGACCCTTTTGGCTTCTTGCTGCTCCACCGTCAGCAGCAAGTTTCAGTAGTGATCATCAGGTCAGAATCAGGTGAGAGAGATTTAAAAATGAACCATACTTGTCAGTTTTTATGTGAGGAAGAAAAGTGATAGAAAAGTCAGTGATTGATCAGTGTTACTTCATTTAATGCTAGTGTGATAAGTATCTTGCCCCTTTTATAATATTTCTCTCATCTATTTCAACATAGATTTTGGTTTTTGGTGTTTTTTTTCTTTCTCTTGCATTAGAAAGCACCCCTTGAGTTTTGCAAGTGGATTCTTAGATTTAATGAATGGGCACGAAGTAACAACCATTGACTTCTTTTAAGCTACTTAGGTCAGTTGGAGATACTGCCTCTTATCTGCAGCGTAAGTGCAAACGCAAACCAGAGTAGTACATCTTTAAAACTGCTGTACACTGTAGCTGCCTTTACTGTCTTTGAAATGGAGAAAAAGGGCATTTATTTTGTCCAGATGTCAATAGATTAATGCCCGCAGCAGAAAGCCACAGTTGCAGCTGGCTTAGAAAGGACTCGGGTGATCCCTTTCGTGGGGAGATGGGGGGTGGTATGGAAGCCAAAAATCGAAACCACATGCAGATTATGGTGGTGTCTCATTCCTAGGAGTGAGCATAAGTCTTCCTGTTCAGCTCTTCTTCCAAACCATTTTCATTACCTAGGTGATTGTGTAGAAAATGTTTTAGACTCTATCTCCCTGCTCTAGTGTTGGAAGATGGCTTTCAGATCCCTGTGCAGGTCTGCAAGAATTTCAGGCATACACAGGTTCTTCTGAGATGGGCCTTCCTGCCATATGTGAGTAATGTGAGTAATGAGCATGATTACTGGTGGAAGGCTGCTGTGGATGTTCACTCCACCAAATTTTTAGTCTTAGGAGGGGTGGAATTGAGGAACCAATTGCTGTTTGTAGACAAGTGAGGGGAGAGGAACTGATATAGGGAAGTTGAGATAATGGTAAGAGGGAGAAAGGGTTTTGCAAACCCTGGAAATCTTTATATGGATGGAAGAGTAAAGCTTTTGAGGAAATTACCAAATCAATATTCGTCACATGCATTCTGCTGCCATTCCAGATTCCTGGTTGTTTTAGGAGCAGAGTTGATTTCTTTCTCTGACAATAATTCCATTGAGAAATTCATTGAATGTGTTTGTTAGGATTTTAAGAGAAACTTTAATGGGTACGTGGGGTCTGCAAGCCTTTTAAATCTGTCAAAAGTTCAGATTGATTTGAAAGTATTCAGATATTATTGGTAAAAATACTTTCAATTTCCGTGTGGTTTGTCTGTAATAATTTTCTTTGTTTTCACCATACGCAGTTCCTAATTCAAGCCATAAAAGTGCTCTTGTGTTGGTGTATTAGCTCTACTGTTGGGAAATAGAAAATTTCAGGAATCAGGCCACTTAAACAAATGCAATATAGTGTGGTTTAGGGCTGCCCAGAAGCCAGAACATACTGTCATAAGCCAACCTATTTTTTGAGGTGACCTGTGTTGAGGTATAATGCTGGATTTGTCTGTTCTACTTGACTGCAGTTAGGAAACACAGCAAACTGGGCGTGGAGAGGTATCAGGTTACTTTTAATCCTTAAGTTCTATTAGATAGTGGTGGTTATGGCAAGTTTAAAGTTTCTGGGAGCATTAGAATTATCCATATAGTTATGATTTACAAATTAAGCCCATGATCTAGTCCCGTTTCTCTACTGGTGGTCTGTGAAAACGAAGATGTATGTCCTTTCCATAATGGACTGTAATCCATTATGTGTTTATCTTAATACTGTGGCCTTTAAATGCTTTTAGGAAAGCAGGTTCACAAAGTGTGATGTCTTTTGTTACTTCAGCGTGTAAGGATACTATTCATACAAAATAAGCAACTTGATATCTATAGTTCTAATATTGCACTATTTGACTAGGGAGTGTATATTTATAGGGGATTTTTTTGAGGATAGTGATTTCTGAATGGTAACAATGACTCATTTAAAAAAATGCACCCGAGAAGGTGTTTTCTGCTCAGTTGCTGCAGACTTGGAGCATCCTTTGTCAACACTACTGTGTTTGTTGTCATTCTCAAACCCTTTCCCTCTTCCTGCACCTCAGCTGCTGTTGGATGCTGTGCTGAAGTTTAAAGGCTTTCCCGTTAAGATGAATCAAGTTGTCCCTTCAGATTTGATGTGGAACAGCAGAAATGCCTTATTCACTGGTCTCCTCATGGATCTGAGCCTTTGTGTTATTTCCCTTGGACAAAAAATAACCTGGATTTGCATAATCATGGTCTACTTTAGTCTGAAAGTAACTATTAGGAGACTGTAGTTGTGTGTCAGAGGTCAAGTGTTGGAAGAAGATTAAACTACTAGGAAAGAGAGTAACAGAGACATAAAAACCAGGAGAGCATTTGGGAGGCTTGTGTAGTCTAGTGAAAACATCCAGGTTCGGGACTGAAAAAACTGCATTGCTTTCAGGGCTTCTTGAAGCTCAGATGCTCGCTGAGTAATTTACTTGTATGTGGGAAAATGTGAGGAAAAGGAATGACTTGCCATGCTTGTGTGGAGGAGCAATGTTTGTCTGCTGTCCTGTGCAAGTGCCCTGGGAGTTCAGCTGTGAGAACTGGGGACAGTGGTACAGCCAGGAGCAAGCCCTGTCCCTCCAAAACGCGGAGAGAGGCTCCCACAGGGCTGTGGGAGGCCTCAGCCAGCACTGACACTGACCCTGGCCCTTATGAGCTGCTTTTGGTGCAGCCCCTGTCTAGCTGTGGCTTGGTAATCCAAATGAGGACTCCTCACCTGTGGGTGGGCAACAGGGCTGGGGCTGCCCCAGCGCCTTCCATTCCTGGCTGGGATGGTGGGATGAGCCCTGCCCTGCTGCTCCCTTGATGCCCCCAGCCCACAAGGGAGCCCAGCAGCCCCTCGATGGCACATAACACTGCCCTTCAGAAGAACATATCACGTGGGTGTGCTTCCCAGAGTAGAGACAAATGAAAGAGGGGAGAGGTTTAAGGAGGGTTTTTGTTTATTTGAGCAAGCAGTTTTTCTCCTCTCTATTCCTATTCCTCCCTCCAAAGAAGAAAAATAGCTTAGATGGCAAAAAGAGAGATGAGACAAAGAAATTTAGGGAAAAAAACAGTGGAAGGAATGTTTTAATTGAGATGGAGATGGTGAAGGCGCAGGGTGTGGTGCTGCGGGAAGAGCTAAGAAACAGATGTGGCTGGCTTCACTTCAAGCAAGTTTTATGCATTCAAAGTTCTTGGCCACCAGCTAAAATGATGCTGGTTAATTACCTTCAAATAGACTGGTAGTGAGTAGGAATAGAGAAATAGGACCCTAACCCTCCTCTTTCTAAACAGCCCAAGTTGTTTTCCTGTCTGTGTGGGGAAGAAATTGACAGTGTCTCAGGATTTTAGATTATTTTTTGCTATAATTTTTTGAATCCTGAATTACCGAGCAACTGCAGATGTATCAAATCTGGTTTAAGCATGGGAATTTTACAGAGGTAAGCAGAAGTTAAATGCAGATTTTTTCAAATTCTTATATTTACCTTTCTTTCCACTCTTCTACAGACATAGGACTGGGCAGTGACTCTGTGTGTGCACGTCCCTCATCTCATCGGATAAAATCTTTTGATTCTCTGGGATCCCAGTCTTTACACAGTAGAACTTCAAAACTCTTTCAGGGACAGTATCGGAGTTTGGTAAGTTCTGGAAAAACGAAACATGCTGCAGTGTGATTTTTTTTTTTTTTTTCCTTTTGCCAAGTTTTGTAAGTAACCGATAGTGTAGCAGATTAACTGTTTCCTCTCTTTCACCACTGTATTTCTAGCCTGTGACATCATGTTTTTGCAGCTTTTCTTATGATGTTCCAAAATGCAGGCAGCTTTCTGTGAACTTCTAATAATTTTTTTCTTTATTTAGCTCTGCATGTTGTCTGCATACACAGTGTCTTAATCGATTTGTGTCTTTCTTTTTCCAAAGGCAAGAATCTCATTTTCTCTCTCACTGAATTTAGGAGTGATATTGAAGGATATTCAAACCTCAGCAAAGGTGGTACTTTTAATGTTGGCAGTAGTAGTAGTTATTCCTGTTGTCTGTTTTGTTTTGAGGTTAATCCTTCAACTGGCCTTCAGGTAACTGATGTGGACAGTTGTTTTATAGTACAGCTGAAATCAGGGTTGAGTACCTCGTAGAAACAAAACTGTGATAAAAAGTGCTTTTAGTGACTGAAGGTTTGCAAGGAGGGTTCAGGTCCCTACTGAAACCTGCTTTTTCTGTGCTTGAAAGAGGTTGTCTTGAATGGTGTGATGATTACTATGTGTAACTTGAAAAGCCATGCTCTGCTTTAGCTTTCTTAGGTGCAGTTTGTTTTCTCTGTGCAAGTTTTTGCCCTAGGCCACCAATTCCAGCTCCTGTTCTGCTGTTCACAACCCACTCAGTTTTGCTGGTGCAGCTGTTTGTGGGACTAGCTGTTAGCTGGATCACTGAAGTGATCAGAGTTTTAAGTATTTCTATTGCTTTGTTGATCTGAGTTGCTCTGCACAAAGTTAGAAAGAGCTGAGAAGTGTAAGAAGGAGAGAAAGAGAGCTAGTAGCCAAACCCAGGAAATTCTTAGTTGGGTTTTGTTGCTGTAGATGATCAGTTTGGAACTGTTCTCACCAAATTTGTACTCAGTTTCCTTTGCTGGAAAGCCATTCTGACAGAGCAGAGGGACTATAGTTGATCTCACTGTGCAGTGTTGCTGCTTGTTTTGTGGCTTTTTACTGTTTACTAAGCCAAAACATTTTCTCTTGTTGAGCAGTCAGAGTGGATGAAAGCACATGATGTGCCAGCAGAGGTCTAAGGCAGAGGTACCTGTTTGAAAATGTGCCAATTTTATTGTCAAACACTGTGACTTACAGTATCTTGGGGCTTTCTGCATGTTTTTGAAGTTGTTTGCCCTCATTTTCCTATAGTTTCTCAGCTCCTAAGTCTGATGGTTAAATTGAGTTGTGATACAGTAACAAGATTACTGTGGGTATGAATTAAGATGCTGTGTTACAAGATTCAAGTGACAACATGCAGTACATCTTTTGATCATCTCAACTATATAGGCAGCATGTAGGTGAAAATCTTCTACCTGGATAGCTGACTAGGGTTGCTTACACAGTCGTCTTCTCACTAAGTTACTTTTTTTAGTTACACAGGTAATCCTTAGTTATACACAGACATGATTTGTAGTCCTGTTCTCTTAGTTCCAGTGCAATGTATTTAAAGCTGTCCAACTATTTAGCTTTTCTAGTATTAAGGTTTTCCCTGACTCTCACGAAATGCTTGAATGGTGCAGATATTCAAAATTGACATCCATGAACAAAATGCTAAATTTGAATGTCATTAATTTGAAAGACTTCTTAGAAGTATCTATTAACACTTAGTTGTTATGACAGCAATAGTCTGTCTTCACATTTGTGATAGGGGATGAGCATGCATAAATATCATTATATGGACAGCTGCAAGTCTGACATGCTGCAGACTTCCAGCTTTACTAAGCTTGAGAGAAATGATTTGTGAGTACTTGTTTGAGGTAAGTTGCATAATTGTTTTGTAGGTTTTGTGAAAGAACAGTGTCCTTCTTCATTGTCAGGCCATGGAGACTTGTACATTCAGCTGTGGAACCTTCCAACTTGATCTGTTACAGGAGAAAAAAAGAAGGCTTTAAGCTGAAAACTCTATTTATATCCAAAACTAAATTAAATCCAACTCATTTTCTCCTCCCAGCCCAGTTTTTTAGAAAAAGACTCTTCAATGTAAAACTCTTGGTTCTTTGTAGATACCAAAGGCAGTTTATGCTATTTATAGAAAATATATGTGTTTTCTTTATTATTCTCATTTTATTTTCTTTATTACTCTCATTTTAGCTCTGTTAACCCCTTCTGATTTGAAAGGGCTCTAATAAGACAATATACTCCCTGGGCTGATGAGAATTCATAGATTAAAAATTAGAGAAATACTACAAATGCCAAATCAGTCCTTATAAAACCTTTTCAGTAAAAATGTGTGGTGAGTATTGTGTGCGGAGGAGATGCTATTTCCATTTTCTGTTTTCTTCATGGAATAATGTTTAAATCTCTAATGTGATCATTTTGTTCTTTGTGTTCTCACTTACTAGGACATGACAGATAACGGCAACCATCAGTTGGTGGTGAGAGCAAAATTTAATTTTCAACAGACAAATGAAGATGAACTTTCTTTTTCAAAAGGAGATATTATTCATGTTACAAGAGTGGAAGAAGGAGGCTGGTGGGAAGGAACTTTAAATGGAAAAACAGGGTGGTTTCCGAGTAACTATGTACGAGAAATAAAATCAAACGGTGAGTTTTGAATGGGAGAGCATATTTGCAGAAATTCTTGCTTTGGGTAGAGGTTGATAGTTGGTTGATTCATTAAAAATGATAATGATTTTTGGTTAAGCTTGACACTATTTATTGAACGTCATTCACAGCGATCATTAATCCTCAGGAACTCATACTTCAGCACCCCAGTTCACTATATAGAGTGCCCTGAGGCTTCTGAGTTATCAGTAAGCATGCAGAAAACTTCCCATTTTGTTTGCCTGTCTATCTCTGTCACAGTTGGGCTGCTCTGAGTTCCTTGGTCTGAATTCCTAGAATACGGGATTTTGACTCAGGTGCTGACATATTTTGAATTGGTGCTTTGTGTTTAAATAGTGAGAGATTTCCCAGAAGTCTCTTTAAAAACAACACAACAAAAAAACGTACCAGAAAGAAACTTCAAACCAACCAAAAAAACTACAGCAAAAAAATTACTCAACACATCCCATTACTTAGAAGCAAATAATTGCAGGAAGGAAACCCAGTTCTACCAAAATCCACTTTTGAAAGATAATGTATTTGTGATTTTTCTTTTTCTTTCATGTTCATGCACCTTCAGCTGTTCTTCATAGAGGCTTCACCCTTCCACTGAAGTTTTATTTTAACCTTTATACAGTGAAAGTGCCTTCTGTAAATGTCATCTGAATATCAAAACTAACATTAGTCTTCTTTATTTCCTTTTTTTTTTCCCCCCATATCTTTCCTGTCTCAGCTTACTTTCAGAGATTAGGGATAAACCTGGTATGATAAAACTACCCAGGGACTCTGGGAGGCTTTATCACTCTTTCCCATGTCACAGCTCCAGTGAAAATGCACATCTTTTGAGGCTGTGCTAAAGTCATTGGCATGGCTTTTTTCTTTTTTTTTTAGGCAGCCATACAGATGCCTGATTGCAAAGTGAGGTTGTAAGGGTGAAACTCCACTTTTTAAACTTACTTTTCTCCTCTGGTTGCATCCTCTTATTTTCTTCCCTGATTTACTGTGTACGGTCTGTTGTTGCAAAATGCTGGTCTTAGATCTGCAACTTCATTCTCTTAGACAATTCTCCTAGTCACAATGTAAGACTTAGCTTTAATGTTCTTCAGAGATTAATCAGATCTTGACAAACAATTCATGAAGCTTGTTTTTTGTCTGTGGTGTTGTAGCATTAGTCATGATGACCCTCTTGTCCCATCTTTACTCAATTAAATCAGTGTGGCAGAGGTCTTGTTGGATTTCATCAGTTTTGATCTCTTCCAACACTTGAAACTGGAACCTGGGTAGGCAGTTAGGCTCCAGAATAGAAATAGCTTTTAACAGTGAACATGTAAGAACCAGAAGTTTCCAGTAACTGAAATTAAGGTGGTTCTTGTTTTATTAAGAATACTGCACTTAGGTGAGGTACATCTTGAAGTCAGAAGAGACAACAAGCTGTAGTGCCAAGGTTAGTACCAAGTACAGTTTGATTTTTGCAAGTCCTTGCAACCCTGTCTGATCCCTGGGGCTGAGATGAGTTGCCTCTAGTCTTTAATTTCTAACGTTCACTTCTGGCCCTCAGAAAAATTTACTCCCAAGTCGTTTTCTCTCTGCTGTCTAGGTGTGTTCTCTGTGCTACAGCAGCTTACCTCTTCGGGCTTCTGCAGGACTTCTCGCATTCTTGGAGCGCTCTTTCATATGTTCAGTTGTTTCTATAGAAGGCAATGTGTGCCCATGCTTTTTTGTTCTCAGAAAGCTTAGTCCATTGCTTATTACAAATTTAAAATGACTGACCTGTAGCTCACTAGCTTTCTCTGTTCTTCTCCATTGTAAAATTGCTGTTTTGCCTTTTCCGGTACTTTATGACCATCACTTGTCCTCTCTGGTTTCAGATATGGATGTAGGTAGTTCTCTTACTATCAAATCAGCACAATAGGTACTGTGTAGTTTATCAAAACAGTAATTTTAACCTCCTTTTATGCATTTGTAGGTATGTGTTTGAATTGTCTGAAGTTGACTTTTTTATAAGAAAGACGGGAGGGTGGTAGAAGGAAGCGTGGCATACCAAGAGCTTCTTGGTGTTTGTTAATAACTGTTGAGTTGCAGATCAGTTTTACCCCTTGATGTATGTATGCTATGGCATGTTTTGTTGCCACTACCCCTTATGTTCATGTTAGTTGTATTTCAACTGGTGACCTGACTTCTAGTTACTTTTGCTTCTTTTTGTATGTTTGTGGTCAGTATATATATTTATGATATGTGATCCATGTCAGTTTTGCATCTACCTTTCCTGTCCTCTCTTTGAGATGCCTGTAATTTTTAAAGGAGTTGTCATTCTTGTGAGCCTTTTCTGCTTAAGTTATCATTAGTGGCAGTTCTTTTTTTAACCCGTATTTTTAAGTTTACTGAATTCTTCCTACTTTAAGATCATTGTTGTAATTTTGCTACGCTTTTTTTTGTTCTTCATTTTATTGTTGATTCCATGAAATTTGTTATGAATGTTTTTATTCTCAACTGATTTCTGCTCTATGAGTATTGTTGACAATGCTGGAGAGAGGGCTTTTCTGTAACTCTTCTCCCTTCTGTATCCTAGTGCATTGCCACTGTGTCTCTTGAGGTTGGACTTCCTTTGCTCTGCTGTTCTTGTCAGAAAAAGGATGTAGTGCTGTTTACCATAAAGCTCTGAAGTTATTTGAACAGTGGATGTTCATGAGAAGTTTCATGTAGGTTATATGTGTGGGTTTACAGTCCCTATTGCCCTCCTGTGTCCCTGCTCTCTTTAGCTTGTCTTCATTAGGAGGGTTACATGGTCCTTTTTTCTCGTCTTCTTGCAACTATAAAATCCTCACCTCAGGATTTTCCTAATTCAGAAATATTTTAAGTGCCTTCATGCCTTAAGCATAAGGATGAAATATAAAAGTGCTTTTTTCCCTTATGTATTTTAAAACTAGTTAGGAAAATTTGATGTCTTGTTAGCTCAAATTCAAAGTGTGTTTTCTGTCAGTGTTACAATGAATTGATTTTAAAAAAGATCAGCATAGAATTGTTAAAATACTTGCTCTTGACTAAGGTCCTGGATATATAATCTGTTTTCAAAATACTTGTACAATGTTCTGGCATTGACAGTATTACTCTACCCTTCTTTCTTCTCTGAAATGTGGCTTAAAATACTGCAACTAGTTAGAAATTCTGTACAGGTTACACTGCTTTCATTTTTGATGATGCATTATTTGGAATGCTCCCAGGAAATGGTGAGTTTGACTAAATAAATCCCCTCAGTTTGTTGTAACCTTACTTCTGCAAACTAAGTAACAGAAGAAACAAAAGAAGTTCTTTACTCATGTGTGTTTTTATTTTAATTCTCACAAACTTCATAGGCATTAGATGTTTAGATAAATGGACTTTTGTTCTATGTTAAAATCCTCTAATCAGAAAACTGTATATTTCTAGTCTTAGCTTGTAGGGTGTCTTTTTGAAGTTAGATATTCAAGGAAAGGAAGAAACAGCTGCTTAGTAATGGGAACTTTACCCACACTGATTTCTTAAAACTTTTAGAAGAAAAGTAAACTGCATTACATCTGTTTCACAAGCAGAGCATGTTACATGGTAAGGTATCTTAGAATAGCTAAAACCTTGCAAAGTTATGCGCACCTTGTACCTTGCTTGTTTAGCTATGCCAGAATGATCAGTATTAGCACAGAATTCTAATACATGCATGAGATGAGCTGTGAGTGGTTGTAGGACAGATACTGAGATTATGGAGCACAGCACAACATTTAGTTTCCTTAGGCTGTGAATAGTCAGTGACTATTTTGGGGAAAATATATTTGGTCGAGATGGAAAACTGGTTTTATTTTGCTTTTGAGTGTGTGTTTATTCTCTCTGCCTCCCTGGCCCAAGGGGAAAAGGAGAATTTGTCTGAAACTGTGATAGCTATGATCAAACATATAAAGAGAAAAAAAAATTCTATTCAGGTATGTGCCTTTCAAAACAATGGTCCATTTCTCTCTCCCTCCCCCCTTTGTGCACGTTTTCATTTCCATTTTCAAACCCTGTAACATCTTACCTTTTTTAATGTTCTTTGATCACTAATCAAGAAGTACTTTGAAACGAGAGGACTTTGTTTGCATCCTGCTGTACTGTTATACATGACAGAGGGTAAAAGGTAAATACTGTGTAAACTTGTTAGATATTTGACAGTGTGGCCTTACTGAGGTTTTTTTTCTTAAAGTGGAGCAGGATTGGGTGGAGGTGTAGGTGGAGCCTTGTCTCTTACATTACTGTTTCTGTCTTGCACAGTAGAGAGATTTGGAGACCTAGTTTTGAGTGTTCCCTTGCAGAATGGGATGCACTTGCTTAGCTACTGTCAGATGTTAATCAGATTTTTAAAAAAATCACATGGTCACTTGATGAATTTTATCCAAGCATAATCCCTTTAAATGGCATGAGGTTATGCAAAAGGGAATATAGCTTTGTAAAAATTACATTTGATATGTCACCAACTTTATCCTAATTCTTCACAGAAATTAATGTGTCATTACTATCCTAGCCTCTCTTCTGTTATGCTTTCTTGACAGTTATATTAGTATCGGCACTGGTGCAAACTACAATGTCAGTGGTTCTTCTGCTTGGATGTTAAAAAAAATAAAAAAAATCAGTGTTGGGAAAAGGTCAGAATATAATGGAAGTGTAGAACATCAGCTGTTTCCATCCTGTGGTGCGTAAGGGAAGGACAGATGCACTTTTAGCTTTGAGGAAAAGAAAAAAAGGGAAGGAAAAAACAAATAATCCCCCCAAGGAATATTAGTTTTTCTCTCCCCAGCCATGTACATTTGGAGGGATATTTTGTTCTCTCGTCAAGTATTATTCTACAGGCATAAATAGAATAGAGGTTGGGACCAGTAAATACTCTTGGGGAAGAACTAGTGTCCATATTGCAGAGTGGACCACTTGGCAGCGATGCTTGAGAACTGAGAACAAGTTGAGGTCTGCCCTCCTGGTGTTGGACATGAACCAATTAGTCT